CATGCCAGATTTCAACATCTCACGCCGAACGGTTACTGAGTTACAGATTTTTAAGTTTTGCCGTGATTTCTGCAACGGAATTTAATTAAATGGACCTTGATTTATTAGGATTGGTGTCTAGATAACTGAGTCACTGTAGGGTGTAGTGTTTAAAGCAGGAGTAAGGGAGAGGAAAATGTTGCAATAACAAAAAAAGAGAGAAAATCGTAATTAGTAAAGACATAGACAAATCCTAATTAGGTAAGAGAAAGAGAGATAATCGTAACTGGAGAAGAGAGAGAGAATCGTAATTGATGAATAGAGAGAATATGTCAGTGTAAAAGAAACTAAAATTGAGAGAGAGAGAGAGAGAGAGAGAGAGAGAGAGAGAGAGAGAGAGAGAGAGAGAGAGAGAGAGAGAGAGAGGCGTAGGTGGGAACGAAACATTGAGGAAATATCAAACAGACGTTAGGAAAAGGCTAGGGATACAGACAGACAGAAAAGGAATGAGAAAGAGGAGGAGAGAGAAACAGAACCGGGAAAAAGAATGCTTTAAAAAAAAAAAAATATATATATATATATATATATATATATATATATATATATATATATATATATATATATATATATATTAAACAGACCCCGCAGCAAATCTTTGTTACATTATAAATACAATGTCTCTAAAAAAGGATTATTTTATTTTATAGCAGCCTTCCCTAGTGAGTTAATTCTTCCAGCGTATAAAATATGCCGAAGCACTGAAGACCGTATGAAAAGTAAAAAGAACTTTAATCTAATTTCCAGATTCATGTAGGAAGCACTGACGCACACGTTTCTTTTAAAACTTGACAGTAGAGGAATTCAAAGAAATTGATTTTTAAAAGAATAGAAAATGACAGGCAACCCAAACAATAGTGATACGTGAACAACAATGGCAGCTCAAATCAACTTTTGGGAAATGTAACAATAGGGCTACAAACAATATATTTCACAGCTGATTACTTGACATGTTTAGCTTTATCTTTTCACGTACGCTACTGGGCGTAAATTTGACTAGAAAAAATACATCAGCCAAGGAATGCTGGGGCGGATTCTCCAATGTCCTGTATAGGATACGAAACTAACTTTTCACGTACTTTATAGAAGAATTTGCCTCCACGTTACTTTTTTTTTTTTTTCCACCCTAACTCTGGACTTCTAGATTTTTGGAGACGTTCTCGGGAAAGTCTAATATTATTGGGGGTTTACAAATAGGATTAGTGTTAGTCAGTGTTCGTTTCACAGCCTATTAAACCTATACTATTCGACTTTCCCGGGAACTCGTCAGGAGGTATCGGAGTCCCCGAGAAGGGATAAAAGAAAAGAAAATAACCACATCAACTACCCTTAGTGATACCCGTCCTTTTTAGGGTGAAAATTTTCGTTGATTGAAGCCCTACTCTGGCTTTGTCGAGGGCCGCAATATAGCCTGGCCATAAATATGACGGCTGAACACGGTTTCTAGGACCTCTGCACGGTGATCCTCATCCACATGGTGGCACTTTGTGTCATGGGGGGGGGGGGTGGGGTTTATCGCTTGTGTGATGTCCTGGTGGGGTGGAAAGTCAGTCAGTCAGCCACATCAACATACACTTAAGCAGACAAATGATTTATTTTACCTGAAATACACAAATCACAGCCATGGCCCCTTTTCTGGAGCTGCCGACAGAGTTGGTAAACAGAACGCAGACTAAATAATGAAGACAAACATATACAAAGTGGGGGGAAAAAATAACTATGAGAAGAACTTCACAGGGGAGCATGAACATCAGGGGTCTACCGATCATCAGTAGAAAGATCTCTCGTCGACTATTGTTTCGGCCCATTACTTCCTATTCAATCTCGGAAGGTGGGCCAACTAGCTTCATGAAGCCAGGCCTTGATCTTCTCCTGCTGCATTTAATCGGACATTCAGACAGGAGCAAGATGTAGTGGTGACTTTGCAACAGGTATTGTGGGATTTGGTGTTATATATATATATATATATATATATATATATATATATATATATATATATATATATATATATATATATATATATATATATATATATATGTCTCTGCGGTAGCAAATTAGCCGCCTACCTTCAAGACCAGAGTGACAAGCTTACGCTCGGATCATCAGACAGACGTTAGACAGGCAAATGGCAGAGACACTGACAGGCGTTTTGTCGGATACCTTGGCTTTGAAGGATGTAAGGTTCTTTTCCACTAGGGGCACAGACCAGTCTACTGAGGTCTATCTCCCACGATGTTTCGTAGAGTCCAAACCCAGCTAGAAGCTCTTTCCGCTGCTTCGCCAGGCTGTTTTAGTTCCCGTTTATGTTCATTGCCTCCCAAGCCTAAGTGCTTTAGTACATTGTGTGTGGAAGTGAAGATAAGTCATCGTGAACCTACCTCGACGGCAGTCTTTTAGTGTGTACGTGTTACCTCTTCTTAGAACGGCCACCAGCTCACTGTACTTTTCGTGCTTGTACATGTTATTTTCCTCCATCCGCGACTTGTACGACACGGTTAGTTCTATCAGGATGAGCTGGCGTTATTTTGCAGAGTGGAGGGCCATGGGTGTTCCCAGGTCGGTCTTTCAGATTTATTCTGTGTACTTTTCGAAACCAGGCAGGTCAACCGCCAGTAACCAGTCCCTAGCACAATCAAATATTGATGGAGGATGTGCGACCTTGTTGACTTTACCTTTAGAGATCTGGGCACTCTTCCGAATACCGGTCCCAAATTATTCACTGCCGAAAAACATCCCTCAGGAGGTTATGTAGTAAAACCGTTTAGGCCATCATGATTAGTTTCCACTTGTGCCGTTATTGCTCGCTGGATATCAATGTTTAGACGTTAAGTTAAGCGCCGTGGGGAGGAATCGTTTTCGATCCATTGAAGCGACGTGGAAAAGAATAGATTTAGATCCATTGTTTAAGCGTCTTGGGGATGAGTAGAGTTCGATCCATTGAAGCGACGTGAATGATTTTTGATCTATTGTTTACATTACCCATTACTGCCCTTGCGGGGTCCAGGGCCAAATATTTTAGGGGAAAGAAAAAATAGATCCACTGCCACATAACAGTTGTAAAAGGCGACTAATTAGGACTGCTGAAATCGGATGCTTTGGGGCAAAGGGCGCAGATATCGCAGCCTAGCTGTAAACCACAACACAATGTGAAAACCATTCTTTCAAGGGCGAACGAAAAGAACGAAGTTTACCTACCCGTGACATTATCATTGAGCATCTCGCCGCCGCTATCGCAGCCTAGCTGTGAATCACAAGAACAAGCGAAATTTCGCAGCCTAGCTGTAAACCACAACACAACGTACCAACCGCCCTGTTAAGGGTTAAAAAATGACCTCTTGATGCCCTGAATAGGATTTTTTAACGGTGAATAATTTGGGACCGGTATTCGGAAGAGTGCCGAGATCTGCCCAGCCTCGATGATGCCCACTGGGAAGTGGGGGAGGGGGATGGAAGATAGGTTTGGCTGTCGCGTTTGCTCTCATCCTAGCTTGATCCACAATGTCTGCCAACTCTCAGGACTTTATTGTGGCGCCATGTATATCGTCCCTGGCCTAAGGTTTTTCAGAACGCAGTCAATACGTGCTCAAGTGTCTGCTTAGCTCTGCATAGCGGACGTGTTGGGTCAGTGGTCGCACACTAGTTGGCCATGCTGGCGCCAGAGGGTAACACATCATTTGCTTTGCTTCTTTTTAGTGTTCTTAATTTGTTAAATGTAGATGAGAGGTTAGTCCACATTATTTAGTCAGCGTTCTGTTTACCAACCCAGTCGGCCGTACTCGACAAGGGCTCCTGATAGTAATTGCGTATTTCATGTAAAATAATTCATTTGTCTGCTTCATTGTATGTCGAAGCAGCTCACCGAGATTTCGTGAAGAGTTTCTGGTAAAGTCTAATATTACAGGGGGGGTGTGGGATGGGGTTCGCACACTGGTAGACGTCGAGGATAAACTGCTGCACCCTGAAACGACTCTACTAACCTCTAAACCACAAGGCCGCACACACCTCACCAGCGTTAAGTTCAGTAGAGTCAAGAACCGACATTCCAGCACTTGGGACAATCGCATAGGGATTTCGGCATCACCCTCAGCAGCCTGCAGTTAGTTTCAGTTTTATGACTATGTACATCTTGTCTTTCCCCTATCTGTAGTGTCAGGCATACACAGTGATTATCTGTTCGAGCTACTGCATATTTAGAAGCTGTGGGTATGTTTTGTTCCCCCCCCCCCCCCAAACTTGAGGCCCTGGGGCCAAAAAAAAGTATGGCTTTCGGCCTCCCCCCCCCCCCCCCCCCCACTTGAGGCCCTGGGGCCAAAAATAAAGTATGGCTCTCGGCTCCCCCCCCCCCCCCTCCCCTCCCTCTTTTTTTTCCAATGAAAAATTTTCTTTTTTGAAATCAAAGAAGTGTTTCCCGTTGTAAATTTGAATAAAGAAGACACAAACAAGACAATGCATAATTTAGTGCCTAGCATAAACACCTCTATTCGTGTCGAAGTACGCCAGATCAAATGCATCTACCATGTAAATGTGTCTGCGAAGCTACATATGGGGGCAGAACTGATCGACGCCCATATTTCAGTATGTTTTGAAAAAAGCAGCGCAGCGTAAAAATAAGAATGAGAATACCGGTCGTAAAGACCATCCTTCCCCAATAGCATGCCATCTTATAAAATCTGGACGCACTGGATCCAAGAACAACGCATTCCATATCCTCTGTACGTCCGACAATGACAGAACACTAAGATTTCTTGAAGCCGCCGCGATTCCTTAACTCCGCCCTGAACAATGTAAACAAAAAGACATGATTCTTGCACTGCCCTAGTAAAACAGGTAGTTGCGCTTGATTGTTGTTGAACTTGTACTTCATATAAAGGATTCACTTTTTTGCTTCATTTATGTAATGTTACTGTAGCATGCACCTGACGAGATACAGAGAAATATGCCAGGCAATAGATTGTTTTACTTACCGTTGTGATCATCATTATCTCCTACATAGTCAGAGGTCATGAACTGCTGAGTCATCGATGTCTTCCCACATCCGGCAGCCCCCATCATGATGACCCGGTAGTATGTCGGAATTATAGGCGGCTCTGAGTCGAAGTCTTCGTTGTTCATGCTAGACTGGTGCTGTCTCACATAAGCCTTCCGTGGCCGAGAATCAGTTATTGCACTGCCTGTGGATACAGCTGTATGTGTGTTTTTCTTCTTGAAAGAATCTCCTCTGTTGACCACTATTCCTTTGGGTGTAGTTTTGAACGATCTGACCCTTCTCATCCTGTTGTCTTTTACATCATCTGAACTGGGCACTCGAAGTGAGGTTTCAGTAACACTTGGCATAGAGTTTTGTCTAGGTCCCAGAGATGCAGTGTCATTTATTCGCTCGATATTGTTAATGGAACATTCATATGAATGCATGTTTTGGTTGTTGGTTTTACCTTCAATACTGTTGAAGATCGAAAAGAGGCGTGAAGGCGAGCAACGTGGAGGTTCCCCAGAACGAGGACGATCTCTGAATGATCCTGTTCGAGAAGCAGGTGCAGACCCCGGATGGAGATGCGCCACCTGGGTCAGAGAACGGCTGTTGTGGGACTTCATGGATCCCGTACTGCTTTTGGATTCGTTACTGTTCATTCTTGATCGGCGAGCTACGGATTGTTGTGGATTTCGGGAGCTACGACTGACCTTCGTCCCACTAGTTGGGGATGGTCTATCAACGTCTAACGTCATCTCTTGCTCTTCTCCGTATTCATCAAAATTAGTTGAATCGTCAAGGAACTCTTCAGGAATACCTGTCTCCAGTGTGGTAACGGAATAATGACTCTAGTTCACGTTTGCCGCCACGCAGAGATACTTAGAGAAATTTCGTGATTTGATGCAAATACTCCTTTAAATATCTGTAATGTTGAATATCTATCTGTCTCTTGTGAGGTTATCGTACCGTATCTTCCTGTATATTAATGGTTTTATCTCCTGGAAAATTTTAAAAAGAAATGTTTTAATGATGCAGGAGAATATTTTGAATTTCATGGAAGCGAAAACTATCAAATACAGGGGTTCTAAAATGATTAGAAATCTACTTCTTCTTCTTCTTCTAAAGTCCACTGGCTGTGAATTTAGAGGAACGTTCTTGTTATTCGTCTACTTCTGAACTTGAGACGTCCCAGAGCTGGAGTTTTACATGCACATCCACTACTTTTCATCATGCTATGTAGTCAGTTACAATCATGACATGCACCAGTGTCTGTGAAAGAAATGAGATGAGAAATGAGATGAGGAATGGAACTAGCCTCCTAATCTTGTATGTCGAGCCTAGGACTGTGTTAGAGCCTACAGTATCTACTATGTGATTATCTTTACCTATAACTCAGTGAGAAGGGAGACAGTCACTGCAGTTCTCCGCTAGCTTGAGAACCAGCTCTTCACAAATATGTAAGTGAAAAAAGTAAAGGACCCTTCTCCACGCCTTTAAGCGTATAGGGCATATAGGGCTAGACCTATATTTTTATAGACCAATCGGCACAAGATGGGTGATGTGGTCAGCATCACGCCGGCCGCCTTTACTTCCTGGGACTGCATCCGGTACCCACTCAAGGCTGGGTCGACCTGGAAGCCAAGGTCATTTTTGAAGGAAAAAAAACCATATATACAGGCAGATAGACTGGCTGGTTCTGCACCACCTGATGGTGAACTAGAGCATGGCAGATAGACTGGATGGTTCTGCACCAGCTGATGGTGAACTAGAGCATGACAAGCTAGTCGTTGTAAGTTTCCTTTGGGAGCGAGTGAACAGTGCGCAGGAACATTTGATCATCGTGGTCTGGGGGAATGGTCTTACGAGGAGTAGCTAGGGGATAAGGGTTACACTCAACTCGTATTGGAAAGGAAAGACGATAGACAGATTGTTACTGGTACCATCAGAACTGGACATCTGCGCTCGCTGCTGAAGATGAGGACTGAACGCTTATGAAAATGTGCTGAGTAGTGTGATGTTGATTATTAAAGGAATATTCAACATTTAATTTAACTCACTAACATTACGACCGCGGAACCCACTATTAACTTTATAGCACTACAACCTTTTCAAGCGCATACAAGTATTTTTTTTTTTTTTTAATAGCCTGAAAAATTGATTAGTCTAGACATCTAGACTTTAGATAGTGGAGTGGAATCTATTTGGCCAAGGGCCATTTGTCACAATGACTTGCATTTGGGAAAAAAAAAAAAAGATACTTTTTTTCCCCCACCTTTCCTGTCTATGTATATGAGAATAATGAGAATGGCTGGACAGATACAAATAGAAACTTGAAAGAAACTGACTCACGAAGGGAACTGATTGCCCACATCAGAAAGAGACAATCTACATTCTTCGGTAATGTGATGGGGAGAAAAATGGAGTACAATGGAGTACATTGTGACATCAGAAAAGTTGGAGTGGAGGAGAGGCAGAGAGGAACCGAGAGAAAAGATGCTGGACAGTTTGACATAGTGGCATGGAGAATCATCTGTGTCAGAGTTGACTGACAGTACACGAGACAGAAGGTTGTGGATAGACATGACTACCAACGCCACACGACATGGACTTTGAGAAGCATATTTAAAGAAGGGACGGGGAGCTGGCTTACTATTAACTCATACTGGAACAGCATGTCCCATAAGTTTGAATGCATAGGGAAAAATAAAGATAAAACCAATGCCATTACAAGAATCATTCCGGCTGTGCTGAAATGTGTTTTTCAACAGTGGAGGACAAGCGCTAAAATGTGTTTTTCAACAGTTGAGGACAAGCGCTAAAATGTGTTTTTCAACAGTGGAGGACACGCACTGAAATGTGTTTTTCAACAGTGAAGGACAAGCGCTAAAATGTGTTTTTCAACAGCGGAGGACAAGCGCTAAAATGAGTTTTTCAACAGTGGAGGACAAGCGCTAAAATGTGTTTTTCAACAGTGGAGGACAAGCGCTAAAATGAGTTTTTCAACAGTGGAGGACAAGCGCTAAAATGTGTTTTTCAACAGTGGAGGACAAGCGCTAAAATGTGTTTTTCAACAGTAGAGGACAAGCGCTGAAATGTGTTTTTCAACAGTGGAGGACAAGCGCTGAAATGTGTTTTTCAACAGTGGAGGACAAGCGCTAAAATGTGTTTTTCAACAGTGGAGGACAAGCGCTAAAATGTGTTTTTCAACAGTGGAGGACAAGCGCTGGAATGTGTTTTTCAACAGTGGAGGACAAGCGCTGAAATGTGTTTTTCAACAGTGGAGGACAAGCGCTGAAATGTGTTTTTCAACAGTGGAGGACAAGCGCTAAAATGTGTTTTTCAACAGTGGAGGACAAGCGCTAAAATGTGTTTTTCAACAGTGGAGGACAAGCGCTAAAATGTGTTTTTCAACAGTGGAGGACAAGCGCTGGAATGTGTTTTTCAACAGTGGAGGACAAGCGCTGGAATGTGTTTTCAAAACAATTGTATTTTTCCGGTGTATGAAAACCTAAGGGACAAAACGGCTTAGTGGTTATTAGCGCAGTGTCATACTGTTAACAAGCCGGGCTCCATTCAACCACAGGCACTTTGACGGAAGACCGCTTTGCGTTGATTAGAACATTCGTCTGAAAGTCGGCTGTTTACCTAACAGTGGCAGAACATTGGCATGAAAGTCGGCTGTTTACCTAATAGTGGCAGAACATTGGCATGAAAGTCGGCTGTTCACCTAACAGTGGCAGAACATTGGCATGAAAGTCGGCTGTTCACCTAACAGTGGCAGAACATTGGCATGAAAGTCGGCTGTTTACCTAATAGTGGCAGAACATTGGCATGAAAGTCGGCTGTTCACCTAACAGTGGCAGAACATTGGCTTGAAAGTCGGCTGTTCACCTAACAGTGGCAAACTGCTGAAATTAATGTTGTCTGGTAAAACCACGAACAGCTAACGAATACAGAGGTTGGGTTACAACTATGCGTGAAGCCGTGTTCTGTAACCGATGGAACATCAGGAAAAGGAGAAGCAGATCTAGCTAACCGATGAATTACTCTTGTGTCTAGATATAAAATTTAGTTATTGTCTGAGCTGTTGATATTACCCGATGGCGGTAACAAAAGCAATTGTGTGGCTAAAGACACAGCAATTTTCCTATACGTGCTTTCTAAGTGATTCCATGAACATGTTTAAGCAGATAGAGACAGGATAGATTCGAAGAAACTGGTTTGAGTCGCTGAAGAAATCTCGTCTGATAGAGATTAGTTTCATTTTTGTGCCAGGACACTCTGGGGTAAGAGAGAATGAAAAAGCGGATTGGCTTGCTGGCAGGGCCACGGTAGGTACAGGACAAGCAATATGCCCGCCGACATTCTCAATTCTCTCTAGGAAGCAAGAGGAAAAGATGATTTAGGAGACGTTGCTGAATTGACAACACTCAAAAGACAAGAAAAACTGCAGATCAAACGAGTTGTCGCCAAACATGAACATGATACGAGCGCTTTTAGACTTTTGCGAAGTGCAATGAAGATAATATGTTGATCAACTAATTACCTTGAAGAAGAAAAGAATATTTATGCTTGAGTTTTCTCTCAGACTGTTGGCTGTTTTTGACTTTTATTTGTCTGAAAAGGCTTTCTCAGCCATGCCAGTAACAACAATCAAAAAGAGAAATCAAATGGCTTTTATTGCAGAGCTTCATCTGTCATAAACAACATCCCCAGCGACTCGTTTAAGATTTTCTAGCCTCTAAACAAAATTAGTTAAAAATTGTACTTTTGAGACATCAAATTTAACCCCAAAAACTGCAATCTACTTGTGTTTTTGTTTACGTGTTTGGTCAGCTGTCAGGTGACCGTGATTCAATGTCCTTTCCCCTGTTGTGGTGGGCCACGGATGTAAAAGATTTTGAGGAACACTGGTGTACTAGGATATTCAACTAACTTTATCCTGAGTTTGAAATGGCCATGAAGCACATGTTCAAAGTGATATTATGACTTACAGAACAAACAAAAACAATTGCTTCTGCTCCTGTGTAAGTTTGAGATGGCGAGAGAGAATTTACTTGTTAGCTGATAACATAAAAAGATAGCAAACCAGACGAAAGGCCAAGCTTTTCAAATTCACATTATCACAGTCTCAAAGACAAGTGAGCGTTGCGGATAGAAAGCTTTCATACTCACATGCGACGAATAAACAATGTTGCCCTTACCAACAGGACTACACAAAAGTAACCTAACTGAGGACTCTCTTATGAAAAATAGACATCTCTTTGGTCAGCTGAAACTCTGAGGTACGTGTGAATACAGGTAAAGAATACTAGCCAGATAGAATCACCAATGTAGAGCTTGGGGAAGAACTATACACGAAAGTGGACTAAGAGGTGAAGAAAAGACGCTGGCTTTGGATAGGGCACACACTGAGAAAACCTGAGAACAGTATAACTAGAATGTCTTTGCACTAGAACCCGCAGGGGCTTAGAAAAAAAGAAAGACCTTAAAAAAACACACACACTGATGCGAGCTAGAGGGTGAAGGTAAAAAGATAGCGAGGACAATTGGTGAGAGCTGCATGCGATAGCGAGGGATAGAACGACCTGGTGAGAGTAAGTTGAGGGTCTATGCTCAACTGGTGGCTAGAAAGGCGGACGAAGAAGGTAATGTTGAGACTTTTGTGTGAATGGTTTCTCTTTTCATTCCTAGGCAGATGATGTATCTTCTCTCCCTCTTTCTTTCCACTACCCCTCCCCCCCCCCCAATCCCT